AACCCTAAACCCTAAACCTAAATACTTGCAAAGGCAGAACATCCCATGTTCGGGCCCCTGTGCCCCGAACACGAAACCTAAGCCCCAAAGCCTTGACGCGAGAAGCCCTAAACCAGAACCGTAATAAGTGGGGCCTTAATAATTAGAATGGGGNNTACTAAGGAGCCCCCCAAAGTAGTATAGTAAATGATTTAAGGCCACTTGATTTTTAACCCCAAGCCCCTTGTCCTGAAGCTCAGCTCCGGCCCTCTCGCAGGCCCCATCACGGCGCATGGTTCGCATGGAAGAGGTGGCCTTCAAAGCTTGCCCCCCCCCCCCCTAGGGTTTAGGATTTAGGGGTTTAGGGTTTAGGCCCCCCCATACCCCATACCCAAATCTGCAGTCGAAGGAGCAAGTCCATACTTGCAGGCTCCATAGTGGTTCCTTTTTGGGATTACCTTGGATGATCCTAAATATGAACCACATCAAGGAACTGCCATGGAGCCTTTGGGTAGTTGTCAGAGAGGACGGTGTAAACGACGGTCAGGGCGGATGTCGGCGAACGTTGGAGTAGCTTGGGTTGTACTGTCCATGATCTTGTTTGCATGGAGATGCAAGTGTATATTCAGCACCTGCACCAGTGGACCACGCCACTTCGATGATTGCTGGCGACGTCACGACAAACATCATCAAAGAATCAACCCGATAAACCTAAATCCTAAAACCCTGCAGATTGGCTTTTGCTCGGATATTGCGACTGCTGTGAGGACATGCCGATCCTTAGCCACCAAGTGGACGATGGCTGAGCCCACAGAGCTTCTGTGAAACAGACATGCACAGGTGTATGACAACTTCTCACATCACCTGCTGTAGGAATAGGACCCTTGGCAATGTTGGGACAGAGTGCGCTGGAGAAATGGGCACAGAAGGTCGTCCCCTGTTGAAGATGCCTTTGCGAAGAGGTGGTCCAGACCTGCAACACCTCAAGACGACAGTTTTGCACAGATTGCTGAGATGCATCGCGTCTGATTGTCAAGCCATCAACCGCCCTCCCGGGCTGAACCTTTCCATAAACGAAGCCTGCTATAGACTCGACCTGGCTTCTCTAGGATCACGCACCTGCACAGTCGGAAGCCTTCATGTTGTTCATCGTTTCAATCCTAGACCCCTGAGGCCCGAGTCCAACACCCCTAAACCCTAAACCCCTAAGCCCCTAAACCCTAGACCCTAAACCCCTAATCCCTAAACTCCTAAACCCCTAAACCCCTCAACCCTAAACCCTGAAGCCCGGAGGCCCAAGTCCCTATAAACCCGACCCGGGTGCCTAGTAAACTGAACGCCCAACGAAAGCCCCTTACTGTAGAAGCTTGACTGATTGCCAAGATTATTAGGGCTTAGGGTTCCTTTAGGGCTCCTTGAGTCCATATCAAAACTGTATAGTATTATACACCCCCCCCCCCCAAGACACGATTCGAATGATCCCGGCTCCTATTTAGTTAAACCCTGATGCAGCATGTAACTCGATGCAACCTATCGTAGCCCCAACCGAGCAATGAAGCACCACATTGTTCTTTCATGGCCACAATCGGGTCTTGTAGACCGATGCCATGGCTGATGTTGGCTACAACCAGACATCACAAGGCACCTGGGTCGAAGGCGACGCGATCCTCTACCGGGGCGTCGCAGCGATACTTTGCAAGAACACCACTCTCCATGTGGCGCTGGAAGGCAGGACATTCCTCGTGTAGCATCTCTCTCTGGGGATCTTTAGGTTCGGGGAGTTTGGGGATCTTTAGGTTTGGCGAGCCCTGTTGGAATTTTGAGCATTTTGTCCACAGGAAGACGCAGCATGTCAAGGGAGTTAGGTTGCACCGGGATTACTTCGCAAGCTTCTTCAGATGTAGAGGATGGCTCCTTTTCTTTGGCATGACCTGCACCATTACCACGCTGACCTCGATGATGGGACACTCAGCATCATAAGTGTCATCCTCACCACGATCATCATCATCATCATCATCATCATCATCCTCATCCTCATCATCATCCTCATCACCGCCACCATCACCACCACCACCACCACCACCACCACCACCACCACCACCACCGTCATCATCATGATCATCATGATCGGCGTCATCATCATCACATCATCGCCACCATCACCATCACCCACAACTCTCAGAATCCGAAATGCCCATCCTGAATTCGATGCAGAGCTCCAAGCAGCTGCAATTCAGCCCAGACCCCCGACCTCCATAATCCTAAGCCCTAAACCCTAAACTCCAGAATGGACCATAATCAACAGCCCATCCTTCAAAGATCAGCGAACTTAGTAAGTTAGGTTATAAATAATATGTAAGTAATACTAAGCACAGATACCTTATTTATAGCCCTAGCTACTACGGTTGATGATAAAAATCCTGCATTACCCATTATAAGGAATATACCATAATTCACATAGTTTAGGGTCCTTAAGGCAAGCAGGATTTATATCATCAACCGTAAGTCCCAGGATCCTTAAAGTAACCTTATACGATATTGCCAGGCCCTACCCATAGGCCCTTAAGCAGTTCCTTTTTGGGATTACCTTATGGGATTCTAAATATAAACTGAAAAGGAACTACTTAGGAGCCTATGGGTAGTAACTAAGTCCCAGGATCCGTAAAGTAACCTTATATTATATTTGCCAGAGGAGGGTAGGCCCTCATGGCTTGAGGTGCGCAAGAGCCCATCAGCGTAAGCTTGGGACGTGGCGGGGTCGCTCTGCTGGTGCGGGGGCAGGCCAGCTGACTTCCAAAGCAGTACCCACATAGGCTCCATTGTGGTTCCTTTTTTTGGGATGACCTTATAGGATCCTAAAACCGAACCACAAAAAAAGGAACCACCATGGAGGCTATGGGCAGTGTCAAGTGTTTGTTTTGTTTAATTAATCAGATCTCGTCAATGTTTGAGGGGCCGTCTAGGGTGTTGCAGGGTTCAGTCTCAGAGTTTCGGATTAAAGGGTTCATGGTAGGTCTTTACGATAAGTCCCCATACAACGGCCCTTGAAGCAAGGGCTTCAACCTTGGTGAGTAGCTAGGGCTATGGTTGCTGCTTTTGAAATCTCACAGGCTTGAATCTTGTTGGATGGGCTTCTTTGAGATAGTTGTTTGGTTTCATGGGTTGCTGCAGCATACCTTCACATATCCCGTTGTTGTGGCCCCTGTACAACACCTGCTGGATCTGTTATGGTTACAGTATGGTGTGGGAGGCAGGGGGTATATCATGTTCAACGCAATCTTAGCGTTTACTGAAAATTAACTAGCCATACGTTCCATTGTGATTCCTTTTTGGGATTACCTTTATCAGATACTAAATATGAACCACAAAAAAGGAACTACCATGGAGCCTATGGGTGCCTTTCTTGAGACACGCACCCCTCAGGTATTCCAGCGGGACGAGATCCAGGCGCGCATCCCGGAAGCCTCGAAATCATCATTGCCAAGACCCGTAAATCCATGTGTTTGTTGTTCAGGGTTTGGGCACTCCTGTACTCCTAGACGCTAAACCGCTACACCTTAAATCCTAAACCCCAACCCCAAGCCCCAAGTCCGTAAACCTTAAACTTAAACCCCTATGCTAGACTTTCTAAACACTAACACCGTAGCCAATCTAAATTCTAACCCCAAGCCCGAACCCCCTTAGCTTTAATTAGACCGTACACCCAGGACTCCTAAACACTAAACCCTGAACCCCCAAACCCGAGACCCTAAAGCCCTTTAAACCCCAAACCCCTAAACCCTAAACCGCTGAAGCCGTACACCCTGCATGAGGCCCTTTCCTGGGGTGCGGTGGCCCGTGAGCTGGCGGAGCTCGAGGGCTTGCCGGAGATTCGAAGGCTGAGCTTGCGGAGTAAGGGGCATTCCTTTAAGAGGGCTTTTTGGGGTTTGGGGTTTAGGGGTTAGGGGGTTTAGGGTTTATGGGTTTAGAGGGGGGGTTGGGGTTCCTTTAAGCGTTTAGGGTTGAGGGATTAGAGTTTAGAGTTTCGGTAAGGACTACTTCGAGGGCTCTATAAGGGTTCTATGTTCCTAGAGGCCTGCAGAACTACTAATATGGTTGATGAGATAAACCCTGCATCACCCATAATCAGGAATATAGACCATAATTCCCAGAGCTTAGGGTCCTTTTAAGGTAAGGCAGGATGTCGATCATCAACAATACGACTCTTCTTTTGAGTGCCACAGCGGAAGATCTCCAAACTCATACGGATCCTCAGGGCCCAACTCATAAGGACCCCTTGGGGGGGGGGAGTGGGGAGAGAGGGAAGGGGCTGGGAGGCCTTCATATTTTTTCATGTAATATGGCCTATTTAACGGAGTATTGTCTCCTTACCCTACCCCCCCCCCCCCTCTACTCCGGTTGAGGGTCCTTATGACAAGCTTGAAGTTCCTATGGTTTCAGATCATGGGTCCTTGTGTTTATATAAGTCCTTGCAGGCAGTTTTTGAAATTTCGGGCTTAAGGTAGACCCTAAACCTTACACCCCAAAACCCCAAAACCCCTAAACCCTAAACCCTAAACCCCGAAACCCCCAAACCCCTAAACCCCGAAACCCCCAAACCCCTAAACCCCTAAACCCCAAAAACGCAAACCCCCTAAACCCCAAACCCCTAAACCCAAACCTGCACAGGTATTTGTCGGCTCTCCGGGGCTCTTTCTGGGCGGCCTACGTGCGCGAAGAGCAGGGATCGAGATGCCTCTATGCCGCCACGGACCTCTCGGGGGTCATGCCGATGAGTCCTGGCAGCAACGGGCGCAGGGTTTTTTGGGTTTAGGGTTTTGGGTTTAGGGTTTAGGGTTTAGGGGTTTAGGGTTTAGGGGGGGTTTAGGGTTTAGGGTTTGGAAGTTTAGGGGTTTAGCGTCAGGGTTTAGGGGTTTAGGGTTGAGAGCATTATTCAGCATTTTAAGCCGTGTAAGGTTACTGCAGGTCCTTCCAGTAGTGTTTTGTTTCGGTTTTGGGTGGCTGGGCTACAACAAGTGGTGACTATCAAGATTTATTAAGGGTAGGGTTGGCTTGAAACCTTAATTAGGGTTTAGGGTTTAGGGGAAACCCTAAACCCTAAATTAGCTGCAGGTGGCTTGGCCGGAGTGAGGACGGCTGCGAGCTCATGGCATCTGCGATGTGGCCACGCAGACTTTTCCCCGCGGCCGTCGTCCCAAATCTCCGTCAGGTTCCAGGGTTTAGGGGTTTAGGGGTTTAGGTTTAGGAGATTTGGGTTTTGGGGTTAGGGGTTTAGGGGTTTGGCCGTTTAGGGGTTTAGGGGTTGGGGGCTTAGGGCTTTAGGGGTTTAGTGTTTAGTAAACACTTTAGGGTTAAGGGGACATGTTCGGAGGCCAAAGCAGAGACCGTCCATAAGAATCATGTAGTATTGCAGTACCCTCTTTTATTCCTATATATATATATACACTCCCAGAACCAGTTCGAAGCATTCAGTCCCCTTTTCGTTACAGAACTCTATATATACTAGTATGTAGATCTTCAAGAAGCCCTTGCTGCAATCCTTGAAAGTTACAGGAGCCCAGGAATGAACCCTGAACCTTTCAAGCCGAGCCTAAACCCCTAATCCCCACAACCGTAGACCACCTAAACCCTAAACTCTAAACCCTTCAACCCCTAGAGGGGCCATATACGTATGTGTATTGTGTGTGTGTGTGTACGTATACATACATATATATATAGAGAGAGAGAGAGAGAGAAAACAAAGGAGTACTACTATGGAATTTGATCCCTACCAACATAATGCGGATAGTCTTCTGTGGGCCCTCCGGGACCCAACCCTCAGCCAGGCTTGCCCACGCATGGTTTACCGCCTCGCCGCCTCGGGCTGGGCGTCCTCGGCGCCCGATCCTTTCCATGGGCTCCATGCGCCGCTTGTTAGGGACCAAAAGCTATGATTTGCTATCGCGCACACCGCCCTCCCGTACCCTTCATCTTCATCATTATCATCATCATAATCTTCTTCATCGTCATCACCTCGTCTCACGAATGGTGATAATCATCATTATTATCATCATCGTCAGAATCACCAACATTCACTTCGTACCACGACGAGCGCCACCACGAGCATCATCATCGTTGTTGCTGCCGTTGCCATAGTTAATAGTTATCGGCAGCATCATCCCAAAGTTAGCAAAACCCCGTTAGCACCCCTACAAACTCCATAGCTACAAGAACCCAGTAGAACCCTATATTCTAGATTCACTATAAAGACCCTATCAACACCCTACCAAGCGCCTATTCTGAAACAAAAGCCCAGGCCGATCACTTCGGGCACCTCGGAGAGCTCGGCGCTCGAAGCGCTCGTGGTCCAAGCAGCCCGGCGCTGCGTGGCTGGGGAGGCGGCCCGAGGAATTTGAAGAGCATTTTCTGGTTTTTGAGACAGGAGTTGTGCGCAGGTCAGGTAGGTAGGTAGGTAGGTAGGTAGGAAGGTAGGTAGGTAGGTAGGTAGGTAGGTAGGTATTGCTACTGCTGTCCATTTTGCAGATCTTGACTTGCCAGATCCTAATCCTTGACAGTCGTACCCCCATACCCGACCCCAAAAGAAAAGATCAGGCCTTACACGCTGAACCCTTTATCCTAAGCCGCTCAGCCCTAAACCCCCACCTTACCTACCCCATCCGAATCCTCATCAAGTGAAAAGGGTTGATTAATCAGGGGCTCTGACCCTAAACTTAAAGCCCTGACCCCTATAAGCCGCATTAGTCCTGAGGCACACGTGGGACTTCTCTTCAGCGGCGGTTTGGACTCGGGGCTCTTCGGCTGCGTGTTTTTTTTTGTTTTTTGTTTTGTGTGTGTGTGTTGTTTTTCTTGTTTTAAGGGTGAGAGGCGGGGGCTAGATTGTAGGGCCTTAGTTTTGCTTTTGAAATGAATTTTACTGGATGTTGTTCATGTTTGGAGTCCTCACTGTAACAGCTAAAATACGCTTTTGTGGTGTATTAGAGCAGCTACTGCATATATGAGCTATAGCTTCGGCGAAACTGTGTCGGACGTTAGAACTTAAGACTTGTAGGGTTTAGTGTTTAAGGTTTTTGAAGCGTGCTTAGAATATACGGCTTGAGGTCTTTCATTCTGGGGATCTTTCGGCATGACAGTTTCAGGTATCAGGGTTGAGGTAGTCTTCAGCCGAGGTAGTTCCTGACAGGTGAAGGAGTCGATCGGATGTAGGCTGTGATGGTTTAGGGCTATTCAGGGCTTAGAGTCTAGGCCTAGGCTTTATCCAGGGTTTCAGGTTCAGGAGTCTACTTGGGATGTGCGGGTGAAAGTGCGACAGCCCAATATCACGGAATGGCTTTAAAGGCCCTACCGTACTAGGACCGACACCTAAACTTTAAACCCCTTCAGCCTAAAGCCCTAAACCCTAAACCTACGAGGACTCCGAAGCTGTACTCCTTCAGACCGAAAACCCAATGCCCCCAACTCCCCAAGCCCTCCCCATTCCCGCTAGGCCTTCGTGAAGGCGGAAAGCCCGACAGAGCTTGCATCCCAAAAGCCTCAAAGTCTTCTAGAGACCATACGACCGAAAGGTGGTTAAAACAAAAATGGCCTGAACTCGTGAGCCAAAATCCTTGAAGCCAGATTGCTGATTTATATACCGTGAGCGCCTTAATAATGGAATAGGGTTTTGGGCTCCTTGAAAGGATAATTACAATAAGGAGCCCTAATTAAGGAATAACAACGGCAATTATTGAGGCTTCTACATGAACCCTCCTCACGAAAGAAGGCTTACTGGCCAGGCGTCCCTAAACCCTACACCCTAAACCCCCTAAACCAACCCCGAGATCCTGAAGCCCGAAACATAAGCCGGCAACCCAAAACCCGAAACTTACAAGCCCTAAAGCCCGAAATCCTGAAGCACAAAGCCCCAAAACCCTACAGAACCCTTGCATTACGTTGAAAGGAGGCTTAGAAGGAACCTTTGTAGAGGCCCCCCAAGAAACCCGCAAAGGGTCCTAATGGTGCCTTAAATGAACCCTTAAAGAACACCGTGCACCCTCGGGCCTTTAACCCCTGAGCCCTAAACCCATCCTGAACCCTAAACCCGAGAACCATCCTAAACCCTAAGCCCCAATACCCCTAAACCCCTAAACCCTAAACCCTAATCCCTAAACCTTAGGGCCTCCCGGTGATTTCAGAAGGCTCTTGGGCTGGCTTTTCTCCAGTGGCCTGCTCGCACCGCGCCTCGGCAAGGGTTGGCTTTGTTGAGTTTCTATCTCTGCTAGGTTCGGGCTTTGGGTTTAGGGCGTTTAGGGTTTAGAGTTGAGGGCTCAGGATCTATCTTTTAAGGATTTGTTTATGAATTATATATTTCAAGGCCTCCTTTAGAGTAGGTTTGGCGTACAGGGGATGTTGGGGGTGTCTCTTACAGTAAGGGGTCGTAGCGGTTAGGGGGTCACACATTGGTATTGGCCCGCGTGGTTTCGTGACATCTCTGTTTGGGCTGGTTCTCGAAAGTGCTGGTATTTGCAGGACTT